GGAAAGCAGAGCATCGAGGACAGCCCTCAGATGGGGTCCCAAGTACATGTTTAAGCCGCCACATAGTTAACTCTTAAAACAGCCTTGAAATCTTGGTGTTGAGGCTGCATTCTTGGCGATACCAGAACTCAGTGTGTTTACTCTTGGTTTTATTACTGATTTCCTTTCTGTCTCTCCTGTAGTTTCCTTAATACCAGGGGCAGGTCTTGATTAAGTCAGTAGGTCATGCATTTCTAGAATCCAGTTGCTAACCTTTCCTACTGTGCTATGACTTTAACAAATGTTTTCCTCACGCTTTTCCTCTTGAAAGTCTTAGGCCATAAAAACTTTAACATCAGCAAATGACAGGGTTTTTTTGTTTGTTTGTTAGTTTTTAATTTACTTTCAAAATGACAGTTTTTTAAAACCTCTTCTCATGGAAAAAGAAACACTTCTATGATCTCTCAGAACTATGACAGAATAGGTGTCTGGCTGCAGCTCTGGTCCTTGTATTTTCTCCTGGTGAGAATAGAAGCAATAATTTAAACTATATATGACATTTAAAAAGTTATTTGCAAATTAGTTTTAACAAATCAATAGTTGTTGGTTGGTTGAGTGGATAAATTTTACTGTTTTGCCACAAGTTCCAATGTGTTAGCAGGGTTTTTTTTCCCTTTTGCGTGACACTGTTATGGATTTGTAAAATGTGTTTTGCTAAGTTGTATTAATTACAGCATCTAATTTTTATAACTTTTGTATTTGGTAAATATTTTCTTAATAAATAGGAAAGAAAAACATGTGTGTTACTCTTCTGTTTTTCCCACAAGACTATAGGCTCTTTAAGGCAAAGCAGTTTTATCTTTCCTGATATCTTTACACCTAGCAGAGGGTCTGGTACTCAGTAGGCGCTCAGCACGTACTGAGCGAATGAACAGATTATGAGCAGATGGTTGTATCTCAATTCTGTAATGCGTCTGGGGACAGAACCCAGGTCTTTTTGTTTTTTAACAAATATTTTATAATGCCTCCTTTATCATTTTGAAATGAAATTCATAGATAATATACCATATAATATAATGTTATATAATATACCATATAATATACCATTGTATGGTATATTATATAACATACATAACAACATTTTAAAAATAGATCATTATTATAAAGAGTGATAAATAGAAAGCCATTGACAATAAAATAATATGTATTCCAGTCAATATTTAATTGCTTGGACATAACTACACCAAAAAAAAAAAAAACCCATAATAAAGACTTGCACATACATGTATAATCTCCCTTATAGGTGTGATTTTCTAAAATGATGGAAAAAAATCTTAGTAAGGTTTTAGCTTAAACAAAACGCAGTTTTAGACAATTCAGGATATGTTAAAACTGTGGGAAAAAATAGTTTGCTTTTATATGTTCTGGGCTCTTGATAATTATAAATAGGTTCACCTTCATGAATATCCTATGAGGCAGTAAAAGTTATGCAGGACCTAGGGCAGTTCTTTTTTGTGCATGACACTCCGACACTGCAGACATCTGGCAGCTTTGTCTCTGCCCACTAAATGACAGTGGTGCCCCCACCCCACCCCATGGCAGCAAAAAATGCCTTTGCAGATTGCTAAAACACACCCTTTGGGGAATTTCACACTCTAAAGAACTTCTGTGCTAACAGAAAGAGATCTTCTCTTGCCATGTCAAATGTGTGACTGTTGTTTCTTCTTCTGGAAGAGCCTACCTGGATGTAGACATCACTCTGTCCTCAGAAGCTTTCCATAATTACGTGAACGCTGCCATGGTGCACATCAACAGGGCCCTGAAACTCATGATTCGTCTCTTTCTGGTGGAAGATCTAGTTGACTCCTTGAAGGTTAGTTGCCTCCTACAGCTTTTGGTGGTGGGGCTGAGGAAAATCAGGGACTAGGTTATAATTCAGAGGAAAAGCAGTTAATAGGGTTTTGTCAGACAAAAGCAAATGTATGCTTTTCTCAATCAACCTGTAAAAATGGGGACAGGAGTTAGTAAAGGAGGTACCTCTGCGCCGGGAGAACTAACATCAGAACAAGGCTAATGTATTGATAATTGACAGAAATGCAGTTACAGTCTGGGGGCCTGAGAGAACTATAGAATTCTCTTATGCACCCTCAGATGTATAGTACAAATGAGGTAACCTTCGTTTTGAAACTATTTATGGCATACATCACTAAATTTATGCAGACTCAGTTAGCTAGAGAAGAATGGCATCAGTTAACCTGAACTTTGCGTTACGATTATTCCTGCTTAACCCTCTGATGTTGGCCTTCACAGCTGGCTGTCTTCATGTGGCTGATGACCTATGTTGGTGCCGTTTTCAATGGGATCACCCTTCTGATTCTTGGTAAGATGGCAAGGAAAATGTCTCCGGGCTCTATGAAGTAATTGGTAAGAGTAAGAGCAAAGAGAGTTGTCAGCATTACTCCAGTCCTTCCACATTGGCCCAGCCTTTAACATCCATAGAGACCTTGACCTCCGAGGAATCTGTGTTTATGGCCACAGGTTTATTAAATGGTCCTACCTATAAAGAAATATCCAGACAGCTAGAAATAAAGGAGAGTTGTCTAGATTTGGTTTAAATATGGGGATCTTATTTGTAGAAATCATTTTCATAATTTGGAAATTATTTGTAGTACAAAGCAGGAAGCCTGTGTACCTGTATCTAACTGTCCTTAATTGAGAGCGCTGGCCAGGAGTTCTCATATTGAAGATGATCTGTGTTTTCCTATATTTTATGAGGAAAAATGTTCCTGTTACCTATGTCTTGAGACTTTGTGACCATCTCACATTTACACTTGCCATGTGTCATGATTCTGTTTTATAGCTGAACTGCTCATTTTCAGTGTTCCAGTTGTCTATGAGAAGTACAAGGTAAGCATTTGTCTGTTTCTAATCAGATATGCCAGTTGATGTATGGCTAATTTTAGTTCATTTTTTAGGCATTGAAAGTTCAGAGCAATCCTTTTCTAACCATTTTTACAGCCTAATTTTATAGGTCAGGTGCCTGTAAGAAACTGGTAATAGTGGTTTCCTTTAAGGAGAGAAGCTGAATGTCTAGGAGAGATAAGGGTAGGAAGGGAACTTATACCTTGCTGTGTGCCTTTTGAGGGTTTTGTTGTTGTTGTTTTTGTTTGGTTGCGCTGGGTCTTAGTTGCAGCAGGTGGCCTCCTTAGTTGTGGCATGCGAACTCTTAGTTACGGCATGCATGTGGGATCTAGTTCCCGGACCCAGGGATTGAACCCAGGCCCCCTGCATTGGGAGCGCAGAGTCTTATCCACTGCGCCACCAGGGAAGTCCCCACCTTTTGAGTTTTTATCACATGGATCTGTTCCAAAAAAATAAGCTGAAAAAATGCTTAAGTAAAAGCTGGTGTCTAAAAAGAAACTTAAACTGTTAAGGCTATTATGGGAATCCATCAGTATGAACAGATGTTTGCATTGTAGAGTGGTGTATACAGAGTATACTAGATGCTATGAGGTTATTCTTGATAGATTAAGTCATGCATCAGCAGACTTTTATTCATGGCTTTTTTTTTTTTTTTTTTTGGCTGCGTTGGGTCTTTGTTGCTGCGCCCAGGCTTTCTCTAGTTGCGGCAAGTGGGGGCTACTCTTAGTTGCGGTGCGCAGTCTTCTCATTGTGGTGGCTTCTCTTGTTGTGGAGCATGGGCTCTAGGCATGCAAGCTTCAGTAGTTGAGGCACATGGGCTCAGTAGTTGTGGCTCACAGGCTCAGTAGCTGTGGCACACGGGCTTAGTTGCTCCGCAGCATGTGGGACCTTCCCGGACCAGGGCTCGAACCCGTGTCCCTTGCATTGGCAGGTGGATTCTTAACCACTGCGCCACCAGGGAAGCCCTATTCATGGCTTTTTGATATTAAATGAATTAGTCTCACCCAGGAGTCAAAACACATTTCTGATTACAGAATATGGATTAGACACACAGTTTCTAGTATTCAGAAAATGCTATATACTCCAGTGTCTCTGAAGGAAATACCTAGCAAGTACTTTTTAAAACTGAGCACTATTTTCATTTTCCAGAATATTCCATAGTGTTTTTTAAAAATGGTTAAAGTAGACAAAAACAGATTACCTTCAGGAAAATTGTTAATCTGTGTGTTGCCACAACTGAGTCGCTTTTCTTCGTTAAAGATCCAGATTGATCACTATGTTGGCATCGCCCGCGATCAGACCAAGTCAATTGTTGAAAAGTGAGTATGCTTAGGTCCCACATTTCACCATGACATGTGCTTTTTTTCCCCCCAATTATTTTTAGTCTCCTGTGTAAAATGCTAATGCCAAAGAAGGTAATTTTTACCCTGGGGAAAAAGAAAACCTTGGTTAATAGTTTGATTTTACTAAAAATTATTTCATCTGCTTCTTTGTAAAGCATGCTTTGTATCTTAGACTAAAAAGGATCAATGGAGTTAGGACCACTCTGCCTTTTTGAACCGGTTTTTAAATGTTCGTGGTTGTCTACTCACCTTCATTTATTTTCACAAATATCAGTTTTATTTTATTTTATTTACTTATTTTTTGGCCATGCCACGCGGCATGTGGCAAATTAGGTAATTAGTTCCCCGACCAGGGATCTAACCCACACCCGCTGCAGTAGAAGCGTGGAGTCTTAGCCACTGGACCAAGAGGGAAGTCCCCAGTTTTCACAAATATCAATTTTAAGCCAAACTCTTCCCTCCCTTTTCAGAAATAAAAATTATAGTAAATCAATGTATTAAAGTTCAAAGCTACCTCTTTTTTCTAAGACTACCAAATCCTTCTGTTTTAACCACTTTAATATTTAAATCAAGTATAAAATGTTGGTAGACATTTTCATGACTCCTTATATCACAGAACTGTTTCTCTTTTTTATTTTCAATTATTTGTAACAAACACTATGGAACCCAGCACTTTGAATTTAAATGTTAATATTTTTCCATATTTTCCATGTTTTCTTCAGATATTCTTTAAGAGACAAAACATCACAAGCATTTAAATCCTCTTTGTGCCCACTCCCACCTTTCACACCCCAAATTTTAGTGCTTTTTCTGGCTTTGATAAGAGGAAATCTTGATTATATCCAGACAGCTCTGGCTTGATGCCAGGATCTTTACCTACTCTTCTGCTTTCTTAGGTAGACGTTGGAGGTCAAGCCAGACAAGGGCAGTTAGGACAAATTTGTGTATGGTTGCTGTTTACTCCTTATTGTAAAAGATGATCATAACTTAGCTTTAAACCTAAAGTCTTGATTAACAGTGTGAGCTGATTTGGCCCACTCGGTGGGATGTATCGTTTGTGGGGAGTAGCTTTGACATTAGCTGAGGGATGTGACTGTCCCTTGGTACCCTTAGTGATGGGTAACCTCAGTGCACAAAATAAAGGACAGCTTTAGTGTCCTGTGAGGGGCGAGGAACTATTGCCAGCTCCTGTAGTTCTTTTATATGTGACATTGACCCGTGACTCCTGGTTCCTTCTGTGACACTAATGGGTAACCTGGCATTCCAAGAGAAATGGGCTCTTGCACTGCCATCATGTAGAGCACAGTCAGCAGGCATTATGCCTAGATAACATCTCATTCTTCTCTGGAACCCCCAGTGAAGGAGCCAGGAGGTTCAGGCAGTGAAAGAGGACAGGCAGCAGGCACAGCAGCAGGGAGGGGGACGGATCCTGGTATACGCCTCAGCTCATCCCAGGCCAGACTCGGCCCCTGCCACTTTTCATCCAGAGGAAGCCCTGTGGAAATGGGAGTGTTTTTCACATGGCTCCGGTAAATCCAGGAGTGTCTTCTAGCATCAGTGTTAAAATAAAAACCTAGAACTAATGTCTATATTTTCACCCTTTTTTTCTTTCCTTTTCCTCAATAGGATTCAAGCAAAACTCCCTGGAATTGCAAAAAAAAAGGCAGAATAAATACATGGAAACCAGAAATGCAACAGTTACTAAAACACCATTTAATAGTTATAATGTTGTTACTTGTACTATGAAGGAACCGTGCTCAGTGTCAGCTTGAGCCTGCATTCCAAGCTTTTTTTTTTTAACTTGGTGTTTTCTCCCCTCCTCTCCCTTTACCCTCAGTATCAAGCACAAGAATTGTTGGACTTAAAAAAGAACTGATATCTTAGAACCCAAAAGAATAAAGAAAGAATCAAATTAATAGGATAAATCAATACCTTAATGATGGTGGAGCTTTACCTGTAGCTAGAAACGAGGGGAAAGATTGGAGGTAAAGGAGAAAATGGAAAATAAAACACATCTCTTGGGTTCTTCTGTTCAAATTTCAAGGACTAGTCAGTCTTACATAGCTTTCCATCATAGTTTTGCCCTTATTTTTAAGTTAAGAAATAATGATTAACTTATAAAGAAATTATCTGGGGACAAGAATGGGATTCTTTCCCTCTTTTTTGTTGTTGTTGTTGTTTTGTTTTGTTTTTTGCAGCCCTGTGATCCCATCTTCCTGCCCCACGATGTGCGCAGCTACCCCTAATATTATTCTTCATTTAACGATATAACTTTCAACTCTATGAATAACTTATAGTTGATAGTGGTGACTCCTGATTCTCAGAATGCCATCCGATAACCAAGAATGAAGGTGGAAAGTAGGATGAGGAGGAGTGCACAGGGGTGCTGCCGCGACTCCCGCTCACCCTTAGGAGAGGAAAGGCTCCCGCCATGTGGGATGGTGGGGTCTGTGTCATTTTTTTCGGACACCAGTTCTGAGCTTTAGTTTGAGAGCTTATTCCTAAATGGGCTTTCCTCCCTCTTTCCTACCCTCAAGTTTAATAAATATGGTTGTACTTTTTCTTATTATAAAATAAATGTCTGTAACTGCTGTACACTGCTGTAAACTTGTTAGAGAAAAAAATTAATCTGCATGTGGGCTCCTCAGTTATTGAGTTATTGTAATCCTGTCTCAGTCCATGGTGGGGAGACATTCTCAAGAGGTGAACTACAGAAACACAAAGGCCTTTTTTCTCTTTTCTCTTTTCTCTTTTCCTCCTGCACATGGTACATCTTTAACCTGTGCTCATCGTTTTCCCCTAAGGACCAAAGCTGAGCTGGCTTAAGAGGAGATTGTGTTTGTGGTTAAGAGATCACAGATTAGTGTAAGGAAGTGCATTTTGTGATTCATATGGAGTTTTAACTTGGAGGCTAGCTTATTGGGTGTGTGTTGTTTGAGGGTTCCTTTCATTTTCAGGCACATAAAATGTCTTGGCACCTCTGCTGTGGTACAGGGTACCTTTTGAGAGTGTTTTCCAAGAAGCTTTAGGTAAGGGTGATCAGGCAGGGCCAGATTGTGTTGACAGGCTCCGTGCACAATTAAAAGACAACAAAACAGTTCACGTTGACATCAGATGGAGGGCGTTTGGAAATCTTTGATTCCCATTTGAGACTTCTAAGTGTCTTCCTCCCTTTCCAACATGAAAATTCAGTAAATTTGAAAGAAAATCATCTGTGAGTTCCTTCAGCTTGTAACTCATAGTCGTGATAATCCAGAGGGAATATGCACTGGTGACTTTAAAGGCTACAATCTTTGACAGTCTCAAAGTAGTGCAGCTCTGTAGAAGGTAGTGGAAGGAAGTTTTCCTTCTACTCTGTTGAGGAAATTACTTAGGAATTTAGACGGGTAAAAGGTACCCTTGCCTTACTCCACTCTCTTATTTTCTTAGCCCCCTTTCCTTTTGAAATGTTTAACTGATTTCATGTCATAGTAGGGAATGCATTCTCCATCCCTATCCTTTGCCCTCCCAGGAAGGGCTTCCCCTCCAAAGGACCTTTTTCTGCACTGGAAGCCTCCACACCTAGCTCTTTGTTTTATTAGTGCTGTGTTTAGATTAATTTGGACAGATCTTTGTGCCACACAAGAATTTTTTGTTTTTTTAAGAAAAATCTATAGGTGAAAAATTACTAATGAAACTGTGTGTGCGTGTATGTGCGTGCAACATAAAAGTACAGTAGCGCCTAAGGAGCTTGAATCTTGGTTCCTGTAAAACTGCAAATTGATGTGGTATTAATAAAAATAATAATAAAAAAAAGAACACAGTGACTGTGGTGTCATTCTGCTAACTTTATTCTTTATACACAGTTTGGGTAAAGTAAGAACCAAACAAGGCTTCCACTGGCCCCCATTCCCACTCCACTTTTGAGGCTTTAAAAAGCGACTAATAGTTGATACTGGTAATGATTTCCAAGACTGTAGAATTTCCATAGTAGAGCAAAACTGTGCATTTGGTTTCTGAAAGAAAATGAGAGACCCTCTAAGAGATGACCTTAGGAGAAAGATGATGAGTGGAAGGGGGCCAGAGGGGTTTGTTGTCCCAGTTTACACCAACCTAGGAAGGTTCCCCCACCTGCAACACGAAGCAGCCTATAACTCAGTCACAATGTACTTAAAATGAGAGTCAATCACCATGGCAAGTGGAAACTTTTCCATCAGGTTTTTGCTGAAAGAACTTGTCTCGGATAGCTCTTTCCCAAAACTAAGGCTGCCATGACCCTTAAGCTGGATTTTAAAAATTTATTCAGCATACCTCTTAGAAAACTTAGGCTGAAATTTTTTAAAAATAACTGATGCAAACAACTTCACGAATACGCATACAAATGTTCAAATAATATCACTAACATGGTATATAAATATGTATTCAGAGTAACATTTACATATTGGCCATAATAGCAAGCATACCATTAACAAAAAAATTCATGAAGAAACTTCACCTGTTCGTATCAGACTCCCAAGGCAAGGAGGAGGCACCTAGAGATGGGGACCACCTAATCTCCTAACTCATGAGGCTATAGCTGCAAAGTAGTAATCACTACAGTGGCACTTTCTAGATCATTGGTGCTCAGAACTTAAGCATGCCTCATGATCACTGGAGGGCTTTTCAGAACAGACTGCTGGGCTCCACCCCAGTTTCTGATCTACAAGGTGGGGCCCAAGAACTTGCCTTTCTACTAAGTTCCTAATGGGATGATGCTGTTCTGGTGGCCACTTCTGAGAACCAGTGGAGTGCTTGGGGCTGCTGCTTAATAAAGACATCCACTCCTGCCCTCCTGTGTCCTCTCCCTATCAAGGGGAAAAACCATTCCCACCCTGCTCTCTTCCCTGGCTTACCTGAACTTCGGCAGAGGGCTTGGATGACTAATAATTGCCCCAGTTTGCCTACTGTTTTTGAATAGGCAGAGTAGCAAAAGTGGCACAACACTCCTTCTGGATCTGAAAACAACATGCATGAAGGAAAATAAAAGAATGGCAGTATCCAACCTGGTGCCATCCATAATCCCTGTTCTGAAGCTTTTAATACTGTCTCAGAAAACCTGGAGGTTCAGACACTCTAGGAATTCACTTTTCGGTCAACTGACAGCCCACGCAGTTATTTCCTGAACCCCTGGTGGCATCAACAACACAACACCAGAGCCTTGCCCAGTAGAGAGGCCTTGGGCCAGGCGGCAGTCAGCCCTACTTCAGGAGTTCTGATGGAGAAGGCTGCTGCTGGTGCCCTCCAGCTGAAGCCACTGGTGGCCAGGCTGCCCCTATAGAATACTCATTCGTCACAAGCAAGCGTGCTGTTCTTGGCCATCCCCAGGAGGCCACAACTGCGCTGCGGGCCTGCAGCACCCGTCACAGGTCATCCTTTGGCAGGCCTAATGGTAAAAGAAATTTTAACTTACCAGAGATTGGGAGGCCGTGTAGTGCAAAGAACACTGAATTGGGAGTTGAGATTTTTATTCTAGTCCTAGTACTATTCCTACCTGGTGTGTGTGTGATAATTTCAGTTTCCGGGCTTCATTTTATCTATCTGTGAAAGGGGTGGGGGCAGGTACTAGATCTCCAAGGTCCTTCCAACTCAGACAATCTTGAATTATATAAAAATGCTATAAAATCCGTGGTATAAAATTCAATTCCCAATCAGGAAGAGTCAAGGGGACTGGGCCTGAGGCACTTGAACCTTGGGCTCTGGCCTGGGGGCACTGGGATGAGAGGAAGGGCTTCTTTGCTGTCTGCTTTCCCACCCACAGAGGCAGCTCCTGGCCCCAGGTGCCAGGGCCCCTTCCCCTCCAGACCCAGCCCTGAAGTCCCAACCCGCTGACCTCCCCACTCTCAGGCTTTCTAAGACCAAAGGAACTGGCCTATGTGAAGAGCAGACAGTGGGTGCCAGAGACTCCGAGGAGGGGCCCCGGTGAGGCACACATTAGTCTATGATGTGTGGGGTCCTCCCATCCGCGCCTCCTCGCACCTCCTCCCTTTAGGTCCTTCCTCCACCACCGCACAGCTTATCTCTGATACACGCATAATAAATAAGACATTTGCACATAAGGGTGACGGACAGCTCTCTTCCCGCCCCTCCCCCTCTCATATAAAAGCATTAAATACAGTTTCAAAATAAAATACAAAGAGCAAAAAGGGCCTGATCTTGGGGCCACCTGTTCTCCACAGGAGAATGAATCTACACATCCCTCTCGGACCTGCCTGGGAGATCGTGGGGCCCACTCCCAGCCCCTCAGGACCTGGCGCTGCCGCGGGGAAGAGAAACGAAGGCCGAGGCCCGGCCCCAGGCCCTGGGGGCTGAGAACGGGTGGCGCGTCCACCGCGTACAAAAGGGGACAGGAACAGAACGCCAACTGCCGGTACCTCCAGTGCCCCGGGCTCGGACTGACGGGCGCTGAAGCAGGAGCGCCTGACTGAGCTCAGGGTAAACGGAGGCCTTCGGAGCAGGAGAGGAGCAAAGGAAAAAAGTGCTAATCCCTTTACAAGATCTCGGTGCGGGCGGCCGTGGTGGGGTCCGGGGAGGCGGGTGGGGCGGTCTTCGGAGAGCCCGCCCCGGAGGCAGGCACAGCAGGCGGGGCCCGGCCCAGCTCCGCCACCGCCCCGCCCGACCACCCGCGGTAAACGCGCCTTCACCGCGGGCTGGCGGGCTGGCTCCCCAGCCCAGTCGCCTCTGATCCCGAGGAAGGCCCTCGACCGCAGTCCAGGCCCCGGAGCGGTCGAGAAAGCCAGTAACGACTGGGCAGCAGCTGCCCCGACCCGGGAGCCGTGCCTGCCGACGTACAGCTCTGAGAGCTGGACCCCCGGCCGTGAAAAGGGATCGGTGCGTCCTTTCTGCCTCCCCCACCTACTTGGGGCCCTAATACTGTCAGTGCCCCAGTCCCGGCCTGGCACAGGATCGCCTCGCGGGTGCGGCCGGGGCCCGGAAGCTCTCCGTGCAAACGCTGTGGCTTCTCAGGAACGTGAGGCCCTGAGCGGCGAGGGCCTGGGCTCCGGGTCCGAGAAGAGAGCGCGATTCCTGCGGCGCCCCGACTAGCCTGGGGAATTCTCTGGAACCGAGCGCAAGCCGGAGACCCCCACCCAATTCCGAATCTCCGCCCGGCCCGGCCAGCGGGGGGCAGCGGCAGCGGCCAGGGCCGCGGGAAGCTGGGGCTCCGAGCCGGACAGCCAGCCGGGCACGGCCCCTCGAGTGCGAGTCCTCTACGCCCGACACACGGCGCCCGCCTTGAGGTCCGCGCCGCCGTCGCGCGGTGCCGGGGCGGGCGGTCCAAAGCCCTCGTGGCCGTAGCAGCGTAGTGCCGCCTCCTCGTAGGCCTCCAGGATGGTCTGGCGCTCCTCGGGCGTGAAGTCCATGGAGAAGGGGTGCACCTGCAGAATGTGCCGCTTGATGGTGCTGACCTTGAGCGTGGCCAGCGCGCCCCCGCACACCATGCACACCAGGCCGCGCCGGCTGCCGTCGTAGTCCATCAGGTACTCGCCCCGCCAGCGCGGCTGGTAGTTCCGCCTCTGCTCTCGGCTGCGGGGCGGCGGCGGCGGCGGCGGGGGAGGAGGCGGCGGCAGGGGTGGGAAAGCGAGTCCCCCGGGCTCTGGGCCGTCCTCATCGTCCTCCTCCTCTTCGGCGGGCCGCTCCGACGGTTCTCCAGGGGAAAGTGGGACGTCGCCTAGGACGGAACAAAGGACCGCATTGGAGCGTCTGGGCTTCGTAACCCCCCACCTTTGCCCTGTCCCACCCTCCCCCTCTCCCCTTCGACCTTCGACCTTCCACTCTCCCCACCCCCTTCTGCCCTGGCCCCTCTCCCTCTCCACCTGCTCTGGCCCTCCGCCAGCTCACCCCACCACTCCTCCTCCTCCTCTGGCTCCTCCTCCTCTTCCCCTCCCCCCTCCTCGGAGGCTGCGGCTGTGCTGGGGGCGGCAGGGTCCCTGGGGGACTCGGGGCAGGGCAGCCCCAAGGCCAGCAGGTGGGCGGCCTTCTCGCTCCACTCCTGGGCGATGAGGGCCCTGACCGGCCCGCTGAGGCGCGTGGAGCCCGGGTGGCGCTGGCGGATGTGCCGCTTGATGGTGCTCATCTTGAGCGAGGCCAGCGCGCCCCCGCACACCATGCACACCAGGCCGCGCCGGCCGCCGTCCAACTCCATGAGGTACTCCAGCCGCCAGCGCTCCTGGTAGTGGCGGCGGTGGTCGCGGCCCCGCGGAGACCGGCCCGGGATCCCCACCCTCTCGCCCTCCTCCAGCTCCTCCTCCTCTGCCGGCCCGGGCCTCTCAGGGACCCAGCCAGCCTCTTCCTTTACGTCTGGGGGGCTGAGATCCTGAGAGGAGGGGGCTCCAGCAGCGGGGGCCGAGTCCCGGCTCTTTCTGGTCAGGTCCTGGGGGACGAGGTCATCGTCTGTTGGGGAAGGGGTGAGGGAGAGGGGCTCAGCCTGCTGGCTGGGTTGCCCTTACCCACACAGACGGGGTCCCTTGCTCCACACCCCAGCCCTAAGCTAGAGGGCCCAACCAGAGAGAGAGGGAGGGAGAGAGAGAGAGAGAGAGAGAGAGAGAGAGAGAG